CGAATTTCTCCGAAATTCGGCCGCCTTTCCAGCGTCCCCACTGTGGCTAGTGTTGAAACAGTGCCACCTAACGACATTCCTTTGACCATACGGCAGATCGTCAGAGAAGAGCTGCTTCGATGTCAGCAGACCTATCATCGTTCCAGCGATTTTCAGGATGTGTACGCAAGCGAACCTGAACGTGTGCGGACTCTTGTTTCTCTTCCACCATGACATCCATCGATCAACGCAGCAGACGCTTATAAATATAAAGGCACGTGGCAGGCTGGATTCCCAAGTCAACCACCTCCAAACTACGAACGAAGTTTTCGCCCGCCTGTTTACCCAACATCGACTGCCTACAGTGCCCCTGAAGGGCGGCACCACTATCCCATGCCTTCCGAGAGGAGTCCTTACTCTGAGCAGCCACGTGCTTCTCGACCAATTCCGGCGAGCTACAGCTGTGGCGTCCCGGGTCACATCGCACGTTTTTTGTGACCACCGCCCAAAGCAGCGACAGTCTTGGTACATGTCTCACCAACCTTTCGACCATCCGCTCCCCACGTGACGAAAACCACGCGCACCTACCGGGTCACGCTACCCCTCACCGGCCTCTGATCGAAGTTTGTCGCCACCACCAGCTCCACATGCTCCCCGATCGCCGTCGCCACGGCGACGCGCACTGGACATCGCCGCCGGAAAAACTAGTCGGTGCGGCCAGTGAGGGTGAGTCTGCGAGATCACAGGCGCCATCTACAGATATACCCCCGTCAGCGTTTCTGTTGAAGAATAAAGTTCATATAATTGTCGATGGAGTGGCTACTATGGCACCTGTGGGTACAGGCGCGACAGTCTCGGTGATGAGCTGTAAATCTTAAGAACCTGCTAGGACCAAAAGTGATGTTTTGCCTGAACCGTGGGGTGACATTTCGTGCTGTAAGTGGTAACGTGTTGTGTCCGGTGGGATATTGTACTGTGGACGTCTTGCTTTATGGCAAGGTGTTTTGCACGAAGTTTGTGGTTATTCCGCGGTCTACACATGACGTTATCTATGGTATCGACTTGTGTGAGTGTGGGGCAACTGTAGACTGCAGAAGTGGGCACCTTTCTATACAAGGTACTTTCCCAACGGCGCTCTTGGAAAATTCCTGTCCGGAGGAATTCATCTTTTCCGTCTCCGTGGACACAGTCGTTCCTACATTTTCTGCTGTGTGTGTTCCCGTGACATGTTCCAGTAACAACTGTGGCACATTTGACGCCACGCTCGAACCGATTCCCTTGGCATGTCTTAAAAAGAACATCCTCACTCCCCATTGTATAGTGCTAGTCGTTGATGGACGGGCAGGTGTGTGAACAATGAACAGTTCCATGGAGCCTGCAGTTTTACCAGGCGGCATCAAACTTGCAGTATTTAAACCCGAATCATCTACGACGCTGGTTACGCTTGTTGATGCTGCAAGCCAAAATGAACATCTAGGCTTAGAAGGTTCCGAGGATGCCCAATTGTTACAAATGGTCAGCAAATCACTTGACCAAAGTGAACATCACACACTGCTCGACGTTCTATATAAGCACTCAAATGTGTTCGATTTTTCTAAAAACAGCCAAAGGCCCTTAATCCCAGCGTTTCGGATACGTCCTCAGATCCACACCAAATCGGCGCATTCCATTAGGCAGAAACCTTACCGAGTGGCACCATCGGAGCGCGAGGTCATCGACGAGCAAGTCAAAGAAATTCTGGAAAATTTAATAATACAGGAATTGGCAAGTCCGCGGGCTGCTCCCATCATTCTAGTGAGGAAGAAGGATGGTACGTGGAGGTTTTGCGTTGACTACCGCCGACTGAATTCTCTTACCAAGACAGACGTCTATTCACTGCCGCGCATCGATGACGCTCTAGACTGCCTGCATTCCACGTCCTACTTTTCATCTGTTGAACTGAGGTCAGGTTACTGGCAAATTCCAATGCACGCAGCTGACAAAAAGAGACGGCACTCATTACGACCGACAGACTTTACGAGTTCAACGTTAAGCCATTCAGATTATACAATGCTCCTGCGACATTTGAAAGAATTATGGACTCTATATTGTGTGGTTTAAAGTGGCATGTATGCATGTGTTACCTTGACGATGTCGTAATTTTTGGACGTACGTTTGAGGAGCACAACACTCGCCTAGACCTCGTCCTCAACTGCATTAAAAAAGCTGGCCTTGTATTGAATTCAAAAAAGTGCCACTTTGGCGAGCGACAGACATTGTTGCTGGGACATCTCGTCGATAAAGATGGCATTATACCTGACCCACAAAAGACAGCGGCCGTTGAATCGTTCGAGCTTTCTAAATCTGTGAAACAACTGCGTAGCTTCATTAGGCTCTGCTCGTATTTCCGCCGGTTCGTACCCAGGTTTGCGGATGTCGTTCACTCCCTGACGAGCCTTCTACGCTAGAACAGCCCATTTCAGAGGACCTCCGAGTTTGATGCCGCTTTTCACCAGCTTAAGTGTTTGTTAACTTCACAGCCAATACTTCGGTACTTCAATCCTTCGTCGCCCACGGAAATTCACACAGACGCAAGTGGCATCGGTATCGGTACCGTTCTCGTTCAGCGTTCTGGCAAGAGAGAACACGTTGTGGCGTACGCAAGTTCTTCTTTAGGCAAGCCTGAACGCAAGTACACACTGACCGAACAGGAATGCCTAGCGGTAGTCCTTGCCGTGCAACGGTTTCGCTCATATAGCTATGGTCGCCCGTTCAGTATCGTCACAGCTCACCATTCCCTGTTTTGGCTGGTCCACCTTCTTCACCCATCCGGCCACCTCGCACGATGGGCCATTCGTTTGCAAGAATATGTCTTCACCATTTCAAAAAAAGACTGGCCGTCTACACGCTGATGCGGATTGCCTCTCCAAGATGCCGCTACCGACGACAAATTGTGAAGGCGATAACTTTGACCACCTTATCGCTTCTCTGTCATCTGGCTTTCCCGATGCCGTGACTTTCGCCGCTGAGCAGCGTAATGCCCCAAGCTTGAAAGCTCTCTTTCTTGGAGCAAGAAAGTCATTAAGCGAAGGCTGATTCTGCGTCCGAAATGGTCTTCTTCACCAGAGAAACTTGTCCACGACAGGCGCCCGCTTTCTGCTGGTTGTTTCTGCGTCCCTCCAAACGTCTGTTCTGCGTCTCACGCATGATGACCTCACCTCTGGCATTCTAGGAATCGCACGAACACTTAGTCGCATGAAAGAGCAGTTCTATTGGCCGAAAATCAGCAAGACGATTCAAAACTACGTAGCCAGCTGTACCCAGTGTCAGAGCCACAAGCAGCCCACCTCGGTTCCAGTTGGTCATCTGCAACCTGCAAAGCCTCCCGGTTCCCCTTTTGAAAAGATCGGCATTGATCTGATGGGATCATTTGCACGCTCCTCAAAAGGTAACCGGTGGATAATTGTATGCGCCGACTACCTGACGTGGTACTGCGAGACGGCTGCCTTATCCTCCGCCACGGCAGTCCAGGTTTCGGAGTTCCTGTTGCATTCAGTCATCCTCCGACACGGGCCGCCTCGCGTGATAATAAGTGACCGTGGACGATAATTTACCACTGATATTGTGGAATCATTACTTCGTTTGTGTGCCTCCAAGTTCCGACCCTCAACTGCGTATCATTCACTAACTAACGGCCTCACCGAGCGCACAAACCGAACGTTCATCAACATGTTGTCAATGTACGTCGCCTCCGACCACAAAAACTGGGATGAAGTATTACCATTCGTCACGTACGCCTTCAACACGGCGAAACACGAAACGACAGGCTACAGCCCTTTCTATCTGCTCTACGCTCGCTCACCTCGACATACGCTGGATTCTATCTTTCCTTTTGTCGTCCATGACGATTTCACAATTGCGGAAACTTTGTGTCGTGCGGAAGAGACACGTCGACTTGCCTGCTAAGTACACTGGCAGCGCAAGAGTCCTCCAAAACTCGCTACGACAGTCAACACCGGCATGTAACCTATGCCCCCGGTGATGTAGTGTGGGTGTGGACCCCGATACGCAGACGTGGCTTGAGCCAAAAGCTACTGGCTCACTACGCCGGTTTATTCGTGATAGTCCATCGTCTCCGTGAGGTCAACTATTAAATTGCATGTGTCACCACTAGCGGCCGTTGTTCATGCAAGACAGAGGTGACGCTTGTTGCCCGCCTGAAGCCATATACACGAAGGATACAAGAATGACTCACCCGGAGGACTTCGTCTGAAACAGTGGGAATGATACGAAGTGTCACTACCAGGAAAAACAAGAGAAACGTGGGTAGAGAAGGAAGACGACGTTGCTTCTACTGCGATCCCCCTGGCTGGGGAACGAGCCATGGCGGTGAAATGATCATCATCATCATACGGTGATCGTGGACTCAGGGTCCATTAAAAACCCCCTTTCAGTTACATTACCTTACGTAACAATATATTACACGCACACACACAAACGCACGCACTAACATACACAAACTACGGTTGAACGCCCAACTCGCCGAAAAACAATTGTGACTACGCCTCTGAAAGCCGCCAACGTTAACTGCTAGTATGTTATAAAGCTGCGTGCATGACGTCATGCGCAAGAACAAAACGACGACACAGAGACAAGAAGGACATGAACTCTGTGTCATCGTTTTATTCTCGCGCTATAATTATCGTCATGCCATGCCAACTAGCCCAAGCTACCGCACTTCTAAGTAACGCGCAAGTTATCTTTGTACACAGTATGATACCTCACTTCTTTTGTACACAACCACGCAGGCTCAGTAACATACCTGCCAACATGCTTCGCAGGTAATAAAATGCGCGCTAGACTCTTCAAAAGCTCATAGCAGCGTCTTAATTTTGAGCGTAGTACTAGTAATCTATTTTTATATCAATCTCTCTCCTGCGCGAGCTTCTACTACGCTAATGATTGAAATTGAATCTTCAAACTCGTAGTCGTCAAACCGAGTACAGATGGGTTCATTAAAATCGACTCGGTATGAAATTTACCGGACAAGACTGCAAGGCCCATGAGAAACAAGCAGAGCAACGTAGACCTCTTGCACATATTTCCTACATCCGCACCTGCGACTTCGTTGCCTCGCACTGAGGCAGTCAGTGTCTGGGGGATTGAAGTACTCCGACAAACGTGATAAAATAAAAACAACAACAAACAAAAACGACTATATAGATTTACTTTTACCCGGAAAAAGACACGCATTTTTCCTCGAAGTCGGCCCTTACTTGTACCCTGACAAAAATTCACTGTCAATATTTCTTTATCTTTCTTTCGATTGCATGTATATAGTTCTTGCGAATAGCGACGTAAATTGTTTTCCTCGACCGTTTCACGCGTAACGGTTGCCACAGTGTGGCATATAAAGGAATCTCATATAGTACGGAATTCATTATCATACTGTGTACCTTTCAAAAAAACAAAGAGCCGTGGTTAAGTCGGTCCATAGATTAGAAGTGTTAGTTTTGCTTTGTATACACCTGTACGCACTATAGTGAACAGTACGGTAGTGATGAGAACGAAGGTAAAGGCAAATAGTTAGTTTAGACGCGACACGTTTTGCAGGCGCTGGTAGCACTTTTTGTTACTCCGTTTTTGACAGGCTGCAAAGGCGTGTGCCAAGTAGCAGTAAAACCGAAGAGAATGTAGAAGGCCATCTGGTGGCTTTTGCAAGATCTGTTTTGTCTTTTTTTTTTTCATTTCTGTCAGTATAGCTGCATCTGGCGCAGCTGTCTCTACGTTCGATACCGCCGTTTCTGTCATACCGTTTCTTTTTACGGCTCCTTTCTTACATGTCTTTGCAACAACGACACCATTCAGGCGTGTCGCTAATGAGGGCCATGCGTCAATAAAACCACTCTTCAACGGATAACATCGTCATTTGTGTTTTTTTTTTGAAGGTTGGGGCACGTTTTGTATGCCCTGTATAAGTGCCAGAGGTTCTCGTGTGCTACCATTTTTTAGTAATGTTAACATTACTTCTACTACTACTACTACTACTACTACTACTACTACTACCACTACTGATAGGTGTTATATTATTATTATTATTATTATTATTATTATTATTATTATTATTATTATTATTATTATTATTATTATTATTATTATTATTATTATTATTATTATTATTATTATTATTATTATTATTATTATTATTATTATTTAAGAGTTAGCGTGCAAAGAACCTGGACCTTCTCGAGACGGCCCGCCATTAGAGATGAGACGAAAATGTCGTGCTCCCGTATATTCCCTTTGGGCTTATTATCACTCCGTATCTCTAGTGCAACCTTCGAATCTGCAAGCACTGCATTCGCTTCCTTATCGTTCGCTAATTAGTCTGTTTCACCGAGTGCGTTCCTTACTCAAACTAACAAGCAAGGTACATTAAATTTTGTACTTTGCGTCTCACGTCAAGAATTCGGGCCGGATTAGTTGCGAGCATAAAGGCACAAGTTATGCGACTGAATAGTATGTGCATTGTTGCACCGCTTTTCTTTCCAACAGACCCGCCCTTTACAATGTTGCTTTCTAGTAGAGAGTGTTTCGCACCACTTGCCTGAATAAAGTTGACGTGCCGTGCCTCCAAAAAGAAAAAAGTAAAGAACACCACACGAACACATACAACCGTAAAACATAAAAGTAAGCAGCGAAGTCTGCAGCTCTCAGTGACCCACAACACCTGTATACAACCTGTAACTAGCGTTAATAACTTTCCATTTGTGAAGGCGAATGCAGCACACAGAGCGCCTTTGCTCGTGTATAAATGAGCGAAAATCCGAACACTGGCAGCAGGCGCCTTGGCGATCGGGCCATTGGGCTTCGAAATGGCGACCACGGTAGCACACAACGCGTCTGTCTCCGCCCAACGGCGCGAATGCGAACGAGCGCATCGAGGCACCTTATAAGGGACCATGGGAACGACGGGTAACACGCATTTGCCTAGCCCTTAATTGAGCTTGCGAACTTCGAATGCACTTCAGGCTTTACAGCCAATAATAACTAATAATGGCTGTTATTGTGTTTTCGGTATGGTAAAATAAAGGAGCGGACTCTTGTCAATTTCACGAGCAGATGTGTGAGCCTTAAAAGGTGAAGGTAGAGTAACTGCTGTACGTTTGCTGAACTTCGTCTTTTGACAAAGCGGATTCAGGCCACATAGGAAAAAAAAACAAAGTTCAGACTGAACCCTGTATTCTACCCATAATTCCCATGCTAGCTGAAGTGCCATGCGTTGCAGGTTTGCAGCTCCCATACACACTATCGCCAGAGTTCACTCTATTCGCAACTTTCACCGCCTAGAGAGGGCGCTAGTTCAAGCCCAACATCAGAGTTATTATAGGTCCGTTCGATTCGCCTGCACCACGTGAACCAGTTCACCAGGTGCTGCACCTTGCCATTCGTTTCAGCGGTGCAGCATTGACGACCGCTGAACCCTGCCATTCGTTTCGAAAGGTGCAGAAGAGGTGCAGCACCGGTTCACGATTTTCCTGCACCTCCTTCGCTGACGGTGCCGGCTTGGTGCAGCAGCGCGTGCAGCTGAGCAGACGACGCAGCACTTAGACGTAGGTGGCTTAGGTGCCGTACCTGCCTCTACAAACACGCTGTGTATTTTCAAGATGTTTGCGCCTCATAAACTGTCCGCATGTGCGTTTCGCCATAGGTCAGTGTCTGATGAACGGTGTAAATTAACCGAAAAGAAATAAGGCCAACACCTTGTCGGCACATCGTCATTTGTTTCGGGTGTCGTTCTCTGCCTGCACCGCTGAACTCGCGTTGCACAATTTCTGAACTTCGCGTGCACAGCCGTGAACCGGTTCCGACCGGTGCAGGTGAATCGAACGGACCTTATATATGCTACCTTTAGGTACCTAAAGGTAGCATATATAGTAACTCTACCCAACATGGCTGTCGTTTGGGGGATCGTGCAGCCGGTGCGCCAGCAGCCGCCGCCGGTGTGCCCGTCACTTCAAACTGCGTAGTATTTTCGGCTGCAGCCACCGTGTTGTCGATTAAGGCTTTGCTCAGAAGGCGATTGACTCTATATAGCATGTATTTTATTCGACACTGCGTGTTGAGAAACGCGTGTGCGGAGTATATTTAAGGAAAAGAAGTTTTGAACGCCGAGCACATCGTGTGCTGGGGTGTGAAGGAATGCACGTACAGCTTTGTGAACATTGCTCGTGGCACGAACAGGGAAGATCGAGTGACCGCGCTCGTGCAAAGCAGGAAACCTCGCCTTTGACTGCACGGCGTCTGCACAGCGGCATCCAACTTATTTCGAGATTTTTTCTAGCTCATCAAGAAAACAATAAAAATTGAACCATTGCTACTACGACTCAGTACCTGACCGACTTCAGAATGACGGTAGTAGAAATTGCCAGCGACAAAATATAAAGCACCAGCGAACCGCCAAAGTGAGGCTGACTGAACGATGGCATGGGCTGGTTGCGTGGGCATCTCCCAAACGACATTTACGACAGCTGCCGCATGACGACGCCACCATCTGTGAAAGTTGCCAATAGTGTCCTTGAAAAAAAACTCTGTGGGGTGGCACGGTAGAGAAAAGCTCAGTCAGCGCGCGTGATAAAAGGCGCGATCGCTCTCTCCCGTGTTGATATCTTCGCGCACTAGTGTGGCTACTGCGTGATATTAGCAAGTTCTGTAGCGTGGCGCCGGCACGTGGTGGCAGCTCGTGGCTGGAAGCGCGTCTGGTACAAACGCCGCTCTTGATTTATGCCGGCTATTTGCTAACATGGCATGATACGTTATGTTATACGCAGTCTTTTGCGGAACAGTACTCCTGACTAAAGTAGTTCCTTTTTTGAGGAATAAAGGAATGTCACCGTTCCGTTTAGAATCGGTGGAACTTCTCGTTGCGGTTTGGTAAAATGGTATAGAGGGAAGGCACGCCTTTGGTATAAAGTTTTCATGAAGTATATATAGTATATGAGCGGGATGGTCACCTTGTTGCGTGTTCGCCGTGTTTCCGATCTCTTAGTTGATACAGTAGGCGACCTATAGGTTCTGTAAATTCAAAACTAGGAAGGAAACAACATGTAACATAAGGGATTTTTCGCATTGGGTTCACCAACTTAGCAGGAATTGCGGGCGTAGCGTTAGTGTTCGCCACTCAAAGGAAGCCCGCAATACGTGAGCGTACAACCCATGAAACACACAAGAAGGTATTTCCTGGTCTAAAAAACATCTTGAACAGCCAGTCAGAAGGGCTCATAGACGTCTTGGTCAACACATTTTATAGCCGTATACGGCTGTCTGACCATCGCATAGCTTTGCTTATGAATCGCTATAGTTGTCATCTAAAAGACATCTTGCAAGACCAAGTTTAGATGTGTTTTTTTGTGTTTTTCATTATAGCACTCGAATTGCAAAAAAGCCACTCTAACATATCAAAAGAATGTCAAATTGTGCTTATTGACGTATTATTCTTGCTTTATGTAATAATATCATTTTCATCCTGTAACTAGCAATTCACGCATTACTTATGCATACCGTTCCTTCATCATTCTGACTTCTTTTTCATGCCGCGTGCTTTGTAGCCTTCGTATGAATGCTTTTTTTTATTTGCCAGGTCTGTTTGTGAAATTTCACGTGCAACTTTCTTGTTAATTCACCAAATGGTTAACTGGGAATTGAACAGTCTTGTATATCTTTATTCTGTGTATGCCCCTGAAAATCCCTGCTGGGATTGGCAGTATGTCTGCAATAAATTAATAAAATAAATACTCGTGAATTTTTGCACGCGAAAGATGCAGACAGGAACACAGTTAATTTCCACTTTCCCGTGATTCTCCTCGACTAGCTTCAACGCTTGCTAAGGAGGGGAGGTGTTTGAGATTCGGAATGGACACCCCTCAGTGACTCGAGTGCTCGGTGACAGCGCGAAGGAAGAGCAGTTGAGAGGTGAAGAGACGCTTCGCTGCAGCACTGAGACGTATGCCCGGGTCCAAGCTTGATCCTGCGCTTTCCGATTCACATCCAAACAACTTCTATTCATTCCTCTGTTAGACAAAGAGTTTCAAAGAAGCTAATCTCATATAGAGGTTCACATCAC